GTGCAAAGTTTCAAGAAGTTAAGTGGATAAAGGATATCAAACAACAAGAATGAATGTTGTAGAAAACAGTGATTAAATTGAGGCTTCCTGACTAGTGATTTAAATCAATTTGATTTAAATCAAATCCACCTTGGTTGTAGAATCTTTTGCAATTACTTAAGTACAGGTTAAATAAACACTTGTCTGGGATGGTTTACATAAAGATCATCCTGCCCTGCACAGGGGTTTAGACTAAATAAACCAGGCCCATTAGGTCCCTTTCAGCTCTATTTTTTATGGTTCTAACTCTAATGACTTCTGATTACAACTTGTTTTGCAATTGAAAGCATAGTATTCTTTACTTTAGAAAAATAATCAGGTATCTGACAATATAATGGTAATACTCAATTTCTTGACACCACTGCATGCTACTCTTTTCTTGGATTCAAGCAAGACCTTTGCTCAGTGTTTCAAGAACATTGTGATAATTGCCACAGAAACAAAACAGTGTTAGAGGTAAACTTAGAGAAGAACTGTGTCTCTCATGCTTTTTTGTAGCCTGAGAAGAGATGGAAAATACATCATTTTCACACCTCTTTCAGTAACTTTTTTCCTGAAAGGAGCACTGATGAAATCAACATGCAGCACCAGCTCAGCTCGAACACTGTATAATTGTGTTTTATTACCTTTTTTAGCTGGTTCAGTGCACCATTATAGTGCACCTGTTTTTCTCTGTTTTTGTGTTGAAGGCAGAGCAATAGTGACACCTGTTGTCCAAATAATGTAACACTGTTGTTTGCAAGCATCTATTTTAGTTGCTTAGTTCAAATTTTATCTGTTTTAGCTGAAAACTTCTATTCTTCGCCTCTGCATCAGGTTGAGTTTCTTTATAAAACCTGATCAAAGATGGTGCATTTCTTTTCCAAGATCAACAAAAGTAGCTTTGCAATTGGTAAATAGTTTTTGCACTACTTTATTTCAAATAGCTTTAGTATTTCAGATATTTGGAGTAGAAACTTAAAAATGTAATGAATGGAACAGATCTGGGTCATACAGTTGCCTTAAATGACTGTGAAAAATATGCTTTGACCAAGTTATAAGAATGGCAGAAATTGCCATTTGTATGTGCTCAAAACAGCTTGTTGAGGTCCTTGATTTTTATTTTCTGAATACTTCAATCATTTTAGTATACCTTGGGCTTGCTTAGCCTCCTGCATTGTTTCTCATTAAACTGTTACAAATTTCCTGTTGTAGCAGCAAAACTCCTCATTAAAATGTGCTATACCTGGGGGAAAGTACACTTGGTGAGGAGCCAGTTCATTTCCTCTTTAGCTGATGAGTATTCATTTTGTGCCCTTTGCACCTTTCTGACTGAGGCAGGCCTCATATCTGTTTTAGAGGTTGATAAATATAATCATCTGTATGCACCTCATGGATAAGCTTACTAGGGATCTGAGGGCTTCCCAAGATCATGTCTGGGAGGGCTGAAAATTGATGTTGAGAATCTAATATGAGGGAACCATTTTTCACCTGCTTAGTTTACTGCCACAATGAATACACCAACTCAAAGTGCTTATTTTCTCTCCTGCGTGGTTATTACTGCAATCTGCTTTCACAGAGCAGCTTCAAAACCAAATCTGAATGGCTACTTAATGATGCCATCAGTCTGTGTACCGTGTTGAAGAATTCTTAGTCCCTTGCTTTAATTGCTAGACCTATGTCATTTCCCCCCTACCGCCTCTACGCTAAGAACAGGAGATAGGAATGCTGATCCTCAGCTTTCTGCCGCTGTTGGGCAAATAGTGTTGCTCTCTTCTGGTGGCTTGGCCTTATTGGATGCACAGGCTGTGCATGCTGTAATTTTAGTTATGATCAGACTGATTACATTTAGTGAATTCTTTAACCTGTTGTAGTTTCTGTATTCCCATGTTTATAATTGCCCTAAAACTTTTCTCGAAGCTTTGTAGATAGGCAGGAAAGAAATGAAGTGTGAATGAACTTTGACATTTTGTTGGTGTGAAAATATTTGGGAGAGAAGTTTGTTTATAGGCCAGTAAGTATCATTTGGACCAGGAATGTCACTTAATAGTCCATGTGAGGGAGATAAGTCTTCCTTCCATTCTAAGAACCAAATATTCTCCTACAAGTTATCTACACGGATATCCTCATGGTGGGCCATGTATGCTCAAACATTTACAGACAATTTGTCTTAGCTGCACACACAGGTCATGCTTGCAGTCCTGTGCCGAGTTGCACATGTTTTCTACTCCTGATTTCCTTGGGCCAGATAATATGGCCCTGCATGCTGGATTGGGCTTGCAGGGTGGCACAGGGCTCAATTTCTAGCACACGGAGGTGGCACAGGGCCTCATCTGGCTCGCATACCAACTCTGTGTTACTCACTTGGTCTACAAAGTCAAAAGGTTAAGCATCAGTGGTTTAAGAGAATCCCATGTTGCTGAGAAATGTTCTATATGCAGATAATTTACATCCAGCATACTCTAAGAAGGCAAAACCCAGTTCCAGTTATATGTCGTAAGGAAGTCTGCAGGGTTTTGTTTCTGATTCAGGCAAGTGGGATAAGTACTATACACCTTCTGACAGTAGCTACTCACAAAGACTTTTAATTTCCTCGGCTCCAGTCAGCAGGGCAGCTGGTATCATCTCTAATGCTAGCATTTGGAGGAGGTCTCACATCTGGAGTTCCTTGAGAGGAAGCATTTGTCTTCATTGCCTCTCCTCCTACCCCCCACTCCTACATTTGAAATTCCAGATTTGTTTAAAGATACCATTGAAACTTTCAGATACTCTCCCACTGATCTGCTACTGAAGTCTTTTGGCTTCATTGGGGGTCTGCAGACTGTGCTTAAGAAGGCTGGAGATGAACGTCCTCTGATTTATAGAATGTATCAGCTTGAAAGTTTCTGCTTTTCCTCTGATGCTGAAGTTCCTTATCTTAGCTGCACTCAGGCAGGACACAAAGTTTTCCAACCACAGCACTGTTCTTATTTTTGATTGTTAGGAACCACCTATAGAGGCTGCCGTCTCAGAGTCTACATCTGATTCAGACTCTGACCATAGTTCTGGCTATAATCTTTTTCACTTGGAAAGTGTGAAGGCGGCAAGGAGGTCCTTAGATTGTACGTTCTGTATAATTATTGGTTAAAGGTCAGTATTGTGATTCAAGAAGTTTGGAATGACCATTTGGAGCAAATGCCTACATATGGTGTAAACGTATTATATATATTCACTGTAGGTGAAGTGCCAGCATACCTCTGAGTAGGGCTTGTCACAATTTAAGACTGAGGACTTTTTCTCCCATTTTAAACTCAAGGTGTACTTTACAGCACCTTTAACCTTTTTCCCTTGTAAAGACAGGTATCACTATGCATTTTGAAAATGTTTTCTTACTCAGATTGTCAGGTTAACAGTTTAGTTACACTTCCAACCTACTTTTTGGACCCAAGACTCCAGAGGAGCATATCATGGCTTGAAAAATTACTTTGCAAAAATAACATCTCAGTCCTGTACTCATGACTTAAACACCTACAGTACAGGAATGAACATGAGCTCAGTTTATTGTCCAAGACATGTTCCTGAAAGTGTTTAGTGATAAATTTACTGACAGATATGGCAGATATCTGCCTGTTATACTCTATAAATCTGAGTTGAACTGGTGACATGGAGAATCAGAGGGCATGTTTCTATTCTCTGCTTACCTAAAATATGTTCAAATATAGTCTGTAAAATCTCATGTGTGCGGTTTCCTCTTTCAACTTCCCCATCTGTGCCCTCCAACAATTTAGGCCAATTATGGAGTATATTTGATTGCTACCTACATCTAGAGATTTGTTCATGACCTTTTTGCTATAAAAATCTCTGTATTTAATGTTGAAGATTTTTGTCCCTTGCTGAAAGTCTTAATTTAGATTTTGGTGAGCTTGTTGGGGGAGGTTTTTAAAGACTGTTAAAGTTTTCTTTTATTCTTCTCGTCCTCTTTACCTGAAGGCTAGACTTCATATAGCTGTTTGGTTATCTAAATAAGAGTACCTTGAGTAACTAAGATTCTTTTGTCTCTCCATATATATTATTGTGATTTATTGATTTCTGTACCATGGCTGTTCTCAAACATGGAAGATGTTTACAAATGTTTAAACATGTTTAAACAGATGTCTAAAAATGTTTACATATACAATGTTGAACCCCACCCCCCCGGCCTCTCTGCCCCTATATGGAACCAGATAATGGGTTTTAAAATGTTCTGTAGTTTAAAAAAACCCAAAAAAGAACCCCTAAACAAATAAACCCGTTCCCCCCCCCCCCCC